AGCCGCCGGATGCTGAGGTGGCAGGGCTCTCACCGTGGCACGGAAACAACGAGCAAATGCAGATCAGAAAAGTGCCCGCACATGGACACCAGGGCACCTCAGCAAAGAGCTACCGGGAAACGTGACTGAAATGTCAGATGGGCAGACGGCCAAAACGCCGGTGGGGCCGCCTGTGCCCTGCATTGGGGAATTACCCCAGGCTTCACACTCAGCCCGGAGGAAGGAGCATGACCCTAAATGTACTGAGGTTTCTGCCCAACAAGCAGAGTGGGGCTTACGATGGACATTAGGTTGGTATAGAAATATAAAGTTCTATTTCTTACATATCTAAGTGGGTGGCCTTAGATGCATACTCTATACAGAAAGAAGGGGGGGTGTTTGTATAAAGGAGGAAAGGAAGGAAGGAGAAGGAGAGAGGAAGGAAGGAAGGAAGGAAGGAAGGAAGGAAGGAAGGAAGGAAGGAAGGAAGGAAGGAAGAGATGTGGAGATGGCAGAGCTTTTCCTCTGGTTCCCACGCACTTTCCCACGCAAACACCAGTGGGAACGTGCAGGCACACGTCCACTGGACCCAGAAAATTAAAACTGGGCAAAAATTGTAGTCAACACCATAGTAATTGGTCAGACAGCTCATTTTTATTTTTTAAACCAAATAAGCTATGATTGGAAACTTCCATGTTGAAAAGTCATTATCATAGAAGGTAATTTTCATTTCTAAATTCCCAAAAAAGATGTCTTTGGGCTATTTTCTACCCAGTAGCATTTCAGCCGAGAAATGAAATGCAGTTATTTTAATAGAAATCAGGCAGCTGTTGGTTTGAGTGAGGATGTTTTGACAAACTTTGCGTTTCTGTCATGTCAGCGTGGTTTGACTTTCTAAAGCGTAACATCTGGTATGGATTTTAATGTAACCATCACATGGAAAAGCCTGCGAAATCGAAGGGAAATCTGAATGATTTAAATATCTCAGGCTGTCTTCTGCCACCTCTGTGACTGCCCACCCATCCCCAGGTCGGGGCTTGAGATGTCAGCCTTAGCTCCTCTCCCATTTCTATGAAGTAGAAAGATGCTAACTTTATTGTCTTTAAAGACGGGGAAAGTGAAGCAAAGAAAAGATAAAGAAGGAAGAGAGGAAGGAAGGAGCAGGGGAGGGAGGGTGGAGAGGAGGAGGGAGGGAGACGCTGGTCATCTCTGAAAAGCAGCACTGAGACTCAGGGAGTCTGGGGCGTGGAAAAGAGTTTTTCCTTCTACACACACACCCTTTGCTTAGTCTGAAATGCTTTTACATAAACATGTATTACTTTTTTGGTTCAAAGCTCCTGTTAATTGTAGCTCATAAAAGTAATAAAGAAGTTCAAGTCACCTCTAAGTCCAGTGGCAACATAGGGTGGCCTCGGCACAGAGGGGACGAGCAGGCCTCGCCCAGGCTGTCTAAAGGGGCCCGTGGCTCTTCTCGGTCCCTGATGCCATGACGCTCAGCGAGACCAGCGGCCCCGTCACGCTCACAAAACACAGGCATCCAGGCCCCTTGCCCGTGACAGGGGAAAGCTATCCTCCCACTACCCCGATCTGGAAGAGGAGAACAGAAGAGACTCCTGGCCTCCCTCTTCTCCAAACCAGAGCTGCGGCCCGCCCTGGTCCTAACAACTGGGCCATGGAGAGAGTGGGCGCTGGGCGGGCGGAGGGGGTGGCCAGAGAGGCTCCCTTGGCAGGACCACAGTCTTCCTCTGACATCATTTCTTCTACCCTCTTTCATCTTAATCTGAACTGTCAAGTCAACATATTACCTCAAAAATGCAAAAACAGAGCCCCTTCGGAGCAAGTCCTCAGGTGAAAGGACTGCCTTCCTTGCCCTTGTC